AGTGTCAAGCCAAATATTAGCCAGACATGGTATGGTAACAGCTATGTATTTTTCTTTGAAAACTGTAGACCATTTCTGTTTCCCAGAAGGTCACTTGTTTGATACTGGGACATTTCCGCTGCATTTGTATTTACAAATCTAATGTTAAGTCTATAATCATATCTTTACTTTTTAGATTAGTTTGGTAAAAACAAATACAACGTGACGATAGTTCTAGGACATATACTTTCTCTGATGATAAAAAAACAAAAACCTGTGATAGTTTCCCAATCTGATTTTATGGAGAGCATTTGTTTTATAGTATTCTAATCAATCTAGTTGGTGAGGAATGCAGTGGTAAAAGTGTTTAAACCATTGTTTCTTCTCAATACAATTTACCCACTAATTCACTCATTTCAAATAATTTTGGAACTTACCCAAATGTATATAATGCATTTCTTCATAAATATAGTATCACCAAAAAATAATGTGTTTTTTAATTACTTATGTTTTTGTCATTGAAGTACCTTACACAAACATTCAAACCTTACTTAACATGCAGTCAGGTCCAAGCCCAACATCTAAAACAAACTATTACAAGGAAAGATGACAATTACGGTAGTCTTCACTCCCAGCATCAACAATAGTACAATCTAGACAACAAAATCCTTCCGGGAAGTCTTGGATCTAATTCCCCATATCTTAAAACTTTATAATCAACTGCAAACAAATCTCTTTTAGTTCCACATGGAAAGTGTTACTTCGCAGAGGTCATTTTGTTAGCCAACTCTGGTGAACTTCAGATGATGGGAAAACTCACAATCCAGATGTTTCCAAACATTATTTAGATATAGTGATGACTACTCCTGAGGGGATTACTACATGAGTCCCACTCTCACAGCAATCGCGTCAGTTTTTCAAAAATGCAAAGATACCATTTTCAGAGCAGCCTTCACCACACATCTTCTCAACCACGTGACTGGGGCTGCTCTTCCCATCTTTTTCTCTTATTGACTCTCCCTTAATTCTGCTTCCCTGCCCTATGCCCTACCATGTCTTTCCGTTATTTTCATTTTTTCATGCAATTCTGGGGCTCTGCTAATGCAAGTTAAGTATTTTTTAAAAAAGACAAAATAAACAAAGGGAATCAAGCTGCTTGGGAATAGCTAGGGGGAGGAGGGCCAGGGAAGGGGAAGGGACACTGACACAATATGAATGCCAATATCACAACTATCCCAGCAGCAACATTTCACACCTGGGGACTTGTGTGACTGGGAGGTCAATGACAGGTTCCCCCCCCCCCGCACCAATTAAAAGGGACATAGCAGTGTTAACGGACG